TGAATGAATTTACTCCGAGATATTTGATGTCAGAGCTAAATGATAATTCAACTCTCTTCATGAAACGCGTAAAAAATAGAGACGGAACGAAAGAAGAAAGGTTTATGAGTCCGGATGACTTAGATAGGGAACTTGTTAAAAACGGTCTCGGAATATATGAAATGCCAGCAGATGAGGTACAAGAAACTCCACAGGAAGAAGTTCAGATACAACCAGACATGGAAGAAATAGTTCAGCAACAACAGCTAGAAGAGCCTGAAGGAAACGAACAAATCCCTCCTTTGGAAACTAACTTCACAGAACTAGATGAAGATTTGGAACAGCCGAAAAATCTTGACCCTCAACAAGAGTATGCGGAGAATATGGAATCTTTCCAAGAGTCTAAGAAAAATTCGGCTGACATAGTAGAAGAATATCGAAAAATGTTCACCGACATACAAAAGACTCCAACATCAGATGAAAATATTCAGCATAGAATGGAAGTACTGAAAGAAAATGTACGCAAATACAATAATCCTTTTTACTTACGACCATATAACGTTCAATCTTTGGCTGAACTCGGTGAAAATAAAAGGTTAAAATTTCAACAAAACATATAGAAATGAAACATTGTTTAAAGTTCATTCAGAACCTAACCAATATGGAAACAAACCTACTTTTGTTTCTGCAGACTATGGAACTACAATGAAATGGGGTCATAAAGCTAATCGGATAGGTGGTTCATAAACTTACAACCTCAATTCCAAGAAGTTGTAGACGCAATGGAATTGAATGGTGAACCAGATATAGCTGGTATTTTCAGCGCGGCTTTAATGCCATTGAAAGATATGAAAGATGCAGATATTTTGAACCAGTATGAAATGAACATGGCTGAGGGAAATATAACACCTGACGTTCTAGAACATTTATCTCAAAGAACTACACAGAACCATAGAGATGGTATATTTGGTGAAGAGTTTAGAAAGAAAGTTAGGGAGAGAGAAGGAAGAGAACCTATTGTACATGACCTTGCAAACGAAAGTTTGCAAAATGTCATAAAAACTTACTTTGGCAGACAATGAAATGAGAAGGGATGAATATTTAAGAAAACTCAAATGGACAGTACCAAATGAAATGTTAGTATTGAAAAACATGTTCCATGACAAAATAAAACCAACTACAGAAATAAATGACGCAAGCCTGAAACGTTGGGTAAAAGCTTTCCCATTCACAAAAGATATTATTGGTTACATGGAAAGAAACCAGAATGGCTACAAAAATATATTTGGAAACGAGCTTATTTCATATGGACAAGCTATATTTGAAGAGCTTGAACCGGAAACTCACGAAAGAGTCATGCAAACAATACGCGAAGACTCAAATACAAACTATGACAAAATCTTTCTAGGATATAGGTTACCTGAGATGGGCGACCAGAGCCAAAGGCAAAAAGGACATGGGAAATTTACAACATACTAGGTGAACATGAGGCAAAGATGCAACAACTTGAAGCAGAGGGCAAGTTACCAAAAAGCGACACCAAAGAAGAAGAGAAGAGTAGAACAAAGTGAAAGTAGTGAAGAAGTAACTTCATCTAGTGAAAGTAGTGGCAATGAAGGAAAAAGAAGAGTTGAAAACTCAGTCAGGAAGAAAGTAAAGCTTGGTCCGAGTGGGTTCTATTATGATATATAAATCCAACTATTCTATATTTTTACCCATATGAAATGTACGCCGCTCAGAATATAACGCCAACAGTTTTGGATGCCATGAACGGAAATGTTTCCGAATGGTATAACGAATGTGACAATGCCATTAGAAGGTCAGAAATAGTTCCTGGAACTTACGAATATACAACTGCTGTTTCTTATGGAAACGTAGGTGAGTTTGGAGAAGGTTCTTCAACAACAGTAGATATTGCTTGCGACAGGTTTCATATTATTTCTATTGACACTCATTCTTATACGTGGAACAAGACATTGAAATAAAACCTTCTGCCAAGTTGTCTGACAAGAAAGGTTGCAATGGAATTTTCTATGTCGGATACCAATATGCTCCAGAAGTTTTCATGGGATATAAGATATATTCTAACTCTGACTTAGTTCAAACAGTAACATGGGCAAACTATGAATGGTTCGCTTTGAGAAACTCAGTACAACCACAAGCTAGAGAACAAACAGACCAGTATGCAAATATTGAGAAAATAAGAAGACTTGACCCTAACGTTCCAAATGCTTTAGCTGCCAAATATATTGCAGTTCCACTTATGTTCCCTATACACCAAATATCTGTCAAAGACTTTGCAGGTGAAGTTGGAAACCAAAATCCAGGAGCCGCAGGTGCAAGAACAGATATTGCTTTAACAACTGCAATGAAACATGCAGATACTATGTTTGTACTGTTCAGACGAACTATAAATGACTATTCTTGTTTCTACAACCCTGGTATTAATATCATATAAACATAGATGGCAAATATTATCCAAGAGAAGAATATTCTACAGGTGAGGATATGAGGTCATACAACTTGACATTAGATGCTATGAACTTTAACAACAACTTCACAACAACCATTAACCCTGAAATGCAAAGTTCTATTATGCCATATGTGAAGTATGGACTCATACAGGAGGTCAAAAAACTCAATATACAAATGGAGACCGTTCAAACTTTTGGCTTGGCATTCCATTTGCTGACTCAGAAGACTTTATGGGTGGTATTTCAACTGTTGGTACAGTTTCAAATACAATATACTGGTGACAGAGACGGTCCAGATGAATTGAGAGCAAAGAAGTTTACAAAACCAATAGCACTTTTCACGGAAGATGCTCTTTTGAAGATTCGTTCGATGAAACCTGCTGGGGCTCCTCAGATTGGCATAACGACAGCTTCCATCGAGCAGATTTTGGCAGCAGGTCAGTAAGTTGTTCTTGAACTGACTTCTCTCCGTCAAATATTGACAGTACGCCAGTTTTGACATAATATTGTAGATAAACTTACCTTTAGAAATATCTGTAAGTTTTGAAGTTATATTTTTGTCTGCTTCAAGAACTTTCACCATTTCAGTTATACCAACTTTCTTTGCTTTATGAAATATTTAGGTTCAGCAAAGACTGCTATTCTATAACATTTTCCATTGTTTGTGTAAAGAACTATTCTGTCAATGTATTTGTATTGTTTGTGAGTATAAACTTTGTTCTGCTTCAATTCAATAAGATATCCGAATACGTCCATCTTTTATTCTAAGTAAAATGTCATTTCCGAAAAAATAGAAGCGTAAGTGTTTCAAAAGGTTTAATGGCGGTGGCAGATGTGAAGTTAAATTCACCAACTCAACAAACAGTCAAAGTGTTATTGTCAATGTCAAGACAGAGATGTTGAAGTGGGGAAACCATACGAAGACGAAGATGGTATAACAATTGTTCCTGTAAAAGAACAACCAACATATCCTGAAGTTAACAGAGACTTAAGTTCTGTTGCAGATATTCGAAACGACTACACAACTGAAAGACAAACTTCAAACTCAGGAAAAGATTTGTCAAGCTTGTATAATGTTAAACTTGGTCGAACACAACCCTGTAAAAGTGAACTCAATATGTCATTGCACCTCATGAAGTTTTGAAAGAACTATTGAAACTTTTGACAGAGGCAGACGATATAAACATCAAAGAAATAGAACCGACATTAGTTGCTGTGGTGTTTCATATAATGTCATTGACAAGATATACGTTATGAAAGGAGGTGAAACGTTGAACTTAAAATATAGTTTCCCAGACGTTATAAAAATATTTGACGACCACACATTTCATTAAAATTTATTTGCTAAGTAAATGGCAGAAGACATAATGGTTTATACTATTACGACTAAAAACCCTGAGTCATATAATTCTATAACAACAAACTTACAAAGTCCTCAAGGACGATATTGTAAACTAACCTTAAACACAATGACGACTAAAGCCTGTTTTGCTCTTTTGACACCAGAAGACTTTATTGTTGTGAATGGTAAAAAATACTCCTTTGAAGATACTTACTCAGATATACCACCAACAGGTTTTGTTGACTTATTTAATACTTTAAGTACGGGTGTAACATGTGCTGCAACTAGAGCAGGTTTCATTATGTTTGGATGTCCGACTGAGTTTACTATAAACGATATGAGCTATAATACAAAACTTATTTCTGGTTTTTACTACCAACAGTTTCCTATAACAGGAAAAGGTGTCATACAAGGAATGTCTATTCCATTGACATTAAGCACACCATCTTATATATTGTTTCAAACTTAGGTTCAAAAGTGTTATTCGAATGTCGACAGAAACTATTATGACCAAAAGATACTTATGCGTATAAACAATACTTTCTCTGCTGGTTTGCCTATTGTTCATTCGAATGCAGAATTTTCAACCTTAGTGAACTCAAAACTTTGGCAAGTATAACGTTGACATTAGTTGACGCAAACTTTGTTCCTGTAAAACTTTTATGTCCTATGTATTTGTCAATGACGGCAGAAAGTTTCGAATTGGAAGATGCAACTGGTGAAAGTATTGTATTACAAGAACAACTTCAACAACAAATAGCTCAAGAACAACAAATGCAACAAATGGAACAACAAAGTCAAGAATAAAAAAATAATATTTTTTTATTTTTATAAAAATGTACAGAATAGATGTTTCAGATTTTTATGATTTCCAAGCATTCAGAAATATGTGTCCATTTAGAGACTATAACAAAGCAGTCGAGAATTTGAAACGTTTAGTCATTTATGTTGACTCTGCCCCAGAATGTTATGTCATGAAAGAATGGGATGTTGTCTTTAACAAACCAAGAGCAACAATAGTGTCTGAACAAGAATCTAGACAGAAACTTAAGAAAATAAAAGTTGTACAAGTTGGAATGAAGATGTTAGATGCTTGGGATATCTTATTGTCAAAGTTAGAAGATTTTTCAGTTCGAGGTATAAAGTTCTATACACCTTCTCCAAACTTCTATTCTATCTTCACTGGATATAAATATGAACAAGTAGAATGGAAAGAAAATATTATAGAAGCTTGGTTAGACCATGTCAAAGAAATTATATGCAATGGAAACGAAAAGGTTTATGAGTATATCTTATGTTGGTTTGCAAACATCTTACAACATCCAAGTGCTAAAAATGAAACTGCTCTCATTATAATTGGAAAACAAGGAACAGGTAAGAACACATTCTTTACAGATATCTTATGCAAACTGTTAGAAGGTTATTCGAATCCGAATATGACAAACTTAGAAAACATCTGTGGCAAGTTTAACTCCTCAATAGAGAATATGAAACTTATAGTTTGCAATGAACTTCAAAGTATAGATACAACAAAAGTTTTAAACTCAGATGCTTTGAAGAGTCTTATAACAGACAAAGTTAGAGTTGTTGAAAGAAAGTATAAAGACCAAAGAGTTTGTGAAAATGTTGCAAACTTCATTATGGTTTCAAGCAATGCTGTTCCGATGAAGTTAGAAAGTTCTGACAGAAGATATGTAGTTGTCAGAACGTCAGATTCTCATATGCAAGATACAGAATATTTTGACGACTTAGCAGAAACTTTGACACCAGAGTTTTACAACCATTTGTTCTCATACTTTATGACATTAGATATTTCTAAGTTCAATCCAAGACAAATTCCACATACCGAAGAGAGACAAACATTGTTAGAAGCAAACAAGAGTGTTTAAGAACTGTTCGTAGATGAAACTGACTTTGTGTCATTAGATGAAAGGTCATTGTACGATTCGTATAAACACTATTGTCAAGAATATGGTTATATGCCAGCTTCTAAACGTACATTCTTGGCAAATGTCAAAAGTCTTTTAGATGTTCAGAATGGTGTATATACAAAGAAAATTTTTTCTGAGTAAATTTTAAAAAAATATTTTTTATCCGATAGAAAAGATGACGAAATTCATCTCAGTAAACAAGTACATGTCAGGACTTAAAGAAGAACTAGACCCATTCACATATTTGAATGTTTACTTCTACCATTTTGAAAAGTCTTCATTCAGCAAATTTTGGAACATCGAACCAGTTAAGTTTGCTATTGTGACTAAAAATGGTGCGAAATTTGAAGACTTAGACATAGAAGGTTTGTTAACAGTCAAAGAAAGTTTTGACAGAAGGTTCTCAAACCTTAAAGAAGGCAAAGCATACAAACCTGTTATACCTTATGAACCAAAGAAGACAGACGACTATGAATATTATGAGTCTAAAGTTGTAGAAGTTCAAGGTAAATTGGGTAAAAAGCTATTAGAGTCTAAGCCAGTGTTTACTCCTAAAGAGGAAGAGAACATTGACATTGACCCAGAAATGTTCTAAAAATAAAATTTTATTTTTAAATGTCAAATTTCTTTTTCTCTGGAACTGGTTCAGGTTCTTTCTTCTCTTCTTCTACTTTCTTTTCTTTCTTCTTCTTTTCTGGTGGAGTTATGTCAAATTTGGCGCAACTATATTTATGTAAAAGTTCTTTGTCCTTTAATAGCTCATCTATTCTGTTTTCTGTTTCATCTTCAAGAACACCGCATGTGTCTTCTTTGCATTCTAAGAACTTTTGTTGGACTTCATCTTTCCAATCGGCGTCATCTCTGTCAACAAGTCTGTCATTGACAAATTTTAAGACTGCTCTTTGTAATGTTTTATGGTTCTTGTCATATTCCCAGAAACAGAACTTTAGAACAAATTCACCTTTCTTGTTTACACTATGTAAGATTTTATGGTCTATAGATGTTTTGCTGTCAAAAAGCTTGTCTCGAATATAGATAGCGAAATCGCTAGACATTTTCTAAAAGATAAAAATTTTAATTTTTCTAAAAATATGTTAGAAAAAAAGTTTGCTGACATTGACAAGAAATTTGAGAATGTTTTAAACAAGAACAAGAGGAAGTTAGAAAATGCTCAGATAAAGCCTATACATGACAAGTTCTTATTTGCTCAGAATGGTATAACAGGTCTAATTGCACCACCTGGGTCTGGTAAGACTTTCACTTATCTTAAAATGGCTGCACAACAACAAGAACTAGATGAGAAGAACCCATTCTATGAGTTAGTTGTTATTTGTTCGACTTCTGGTCAATTTGACCAAACCGTCAATTCGTTCAAAGATATTATAAAGAAGTCTAAGTTAGTATGTATAAAGGATACTGAGTTGTTAGATTGGATAAAGAAGTACCAAAGAAGAGTTTTGAAGTATAATGCTATAAATGAGTATATAAATTCTAAGTTTAAAGAACCTAATGAGGAAATGCAGAGAATATTAGAGAAGAAACACTTCAGAAACAAACAGAAAGAGATAGAATACATTTCGAAGAAATTGCAATCGTACGATTGGAAGACTTACCCTCATAGATGTCTTCTTATCTTAGATGATTTTGCTTCTCATCCTTTGTTAAAGAACAGAGAACAAGATATGTGTCGAATTCTTAAGAAGCTCAGACACTTTAACATCTCAGTTGTCATTTGTGTACAGACAGCAAAGAGTTTAAGTAAGGATGTTAAAAGAATACTTACTGACATAATACTTTTCCCCGGATTGTCCGAAGACGATTTCATGGAACTTATGAAAGAGTCCATGGCAGGTAAGTTTGACAGACATGAACTATGGGAGAAGTACAAAGTCATACAAGACCCTCATACTTCTTTCAGAATTCATATCTACGCAAACAAAGTTCAAATTGTAAAAAGTCAAGCTTGAAAAATGTAAGTGTTTAGTCTTAGTAAGATGGTAGCTTCTTAAAGCAAATACCATTGCTGAGTTTTATGTACGTGAAGAGAAGTACAATGAATTCAATTACGAGTACAATTGCAATGACAACTAAGGCAACTATTTTTGTCTTTTGCCAGCAAGGGTACTTCTTCTCTTCCAATGGTTCGGCAGAACTATACTCACTCATGAGAAATGCCAAAACGGTTTAATAGAAAAAGTGTCATTTTTTTATGTCCGAAGACTCGAAGGTGCAACACTTCCAAAATACTGACGAACTCAGAAGAGCAGCATGGCAGTATGTTCTTGACAACTTCTTTGAGTTCTCCAGGTACACCTTGGAAAATGCTGAAGAACTCCGACACAGAGAATTTGGAGAAATTGCACTCCAATACTACCTTGACAAACAAAGGGTAAATTAAGACTAAAAACTTAACGTTTAAAAAGTGACATTTTTATGAGCTCCGAGTCACCGAGAAAACTTGGTCAGATGTTAGCAGCTTACTTCCCTGAGGAGGATGGAAGCGTTACATACATCAGGTTCAAAAACAACGAACCTGGAATTGCGTACCAAATTCGCAATTACATGACCATGGAAGAGTACGAAAGGTTTCTACAAGAGAACCAGCTCTAAACAACTCAGAAAAGAAAGAGTAAAAGTTTAATTCGTAATTGTTTATTTTTTTACTTGTAAGGGCAAGCTGCAAGTATGAAGTCGACTATCTCCGTCTTTGTTTTGACGAGCTGGACGGCTCTTGCGAGTACGTCTGTTTTGCGGTCTCCAGCTGGTGTCTGACCTTCGTAATTGCGCATGTTCTTGAGAGCTCCAACTGTAAATGGTTGTAGGATGAAGAGTCTCTCAGACTGCTTGAGGTAGTCTTCACGGTCACGACCGAATCTGTGGTACGAGTCGAATCGGTCGATTTGAGGGAAGAGACTGAAAGCCTGTCGTCTTCCATTGGAGCTGTAGCATACTCTTTGCGTAAGCGGTTCAGACCTTCTTCGAAGTCTTGGTCTCTCTTCGATTGAGATTGGAATTGGAATTGCTGGGGTGGAGCTTGCTGGAACAACCAAGGGTTGGGGAAGTAAGGCATAGGCTGAGGAGGGTAGTTCGGGAAGCCTTGTGGTGGGTAGTAACCTTGAGGTGGAAATTGGTAGTAATTCGGAGGTACTTGCTGGAACTGAGGTTGCTGAGGAGACTGTTATGGTTCTGCAGCTTTCGGTTCTTCTGGCTTTGGAAGGCATTCAGGAAGAGGAACGTCAGTCATCCGTTTGTGTCCTGTCGGAAGGAAAAACTTTTTCTGTCGGAAGGAAAAACTTTTTCTGAAGTTCGACCAAAAAGTTCTCAATTTTCGAAAATTTGAATGGTTTACGGACGGACAACTGGAAGAGTTCTTCCTGTCGGAAGGAAAATTTTTTCCCTTTGTCGGGAAAATATTTTCCTGTCGGATGGAAGAACTTGGAATGCAAGAAAGACTTGACGAGGCAATTTACCTAATTGAAATTAACGACTGCGTAAAAGACTACTTGCGCAAGGTAATGAAGCCCAAGGTCAAGTTCATCACTATTTCTGGAAGGTCTACACTTCAGCTCGAGACTTCGACTGGAATTCCAATTCAAATACCAGACGGGACAGCCTACGATGGCATAAAGGACGCCAAAAGAGAAGCTCTTGTTAAGTTCCTAAACAAACGTCCTTGGATAAAAATGCCAAACAAGGAGAACCCCCTACCCCATATGAAATTGGCAATTCAGTCTCTCCTTCACTTCTCTGGTCAACCATTCTTTATAACTACAGAAGGCGACATTCAGCCAGTTCAGTAAACATCTCATTTTAACTCACTTTTTTTATGTTTTTACTCACACTCGTACTCACCAGGTATGAGTACAACTATTTCAACTGTGAACCTTGTATTGACCGGTCTTCCTGTAAATGCAAGTTCGGTCAATACACAGTTTATGGTGGCAAGAAGGACAGTGGGGAATGCGCGCTCGAGAGAGAATTGAAATTCCAGACCCAACTCCAACAAGAACTCTCAAGTTACCAGAGACTCGTGTGAAGAAGAAGCCTTCTGGTAAGTTTCTTATAGCCATCTATATGGCACGTTTAGAGTAAAAACATTTTTTTCATTTTTTGAATGAAGCAAGTTAAATTCGTCCCACACCAAACTCAATGGACCGATGAAGAGTTTCAAGCTATGGTTGAAGGTGTTGAGAACGACATAGACGGCGAACTTGAAGGAGCTCAAACCACAATTGCAACCAAAATTGCACAAGTCAAAGAAGAGATAGCTCCACTTAAAGCTACCAAAGCTACTCTTGACCTCATGGATACTTACCGTTTAGATGTCAAGAGAGGAATAAGACAATTAAAATTAAAACTTCTAAACTACGAAGCTATACTCCAAAAGTTAGCAGAAATGAGAAGACTTTACCAGAGCTACTTACATGTAAGGGACTTACCTTCAAGCAGTCCGACCAAAGATGAATTTTCTGACATTGTCCCAATTTTGTCCGAAAGTCAGCTCAGATGTTTTGAACTGCTCCCAACATATCCAGAATATGAAAATTTGCCTGAACTCTTTCGGTTCCTCAAAAAACGTTTTTTGGTTCTCATGTTCGAAACTTTTATCGGAAGAGACAACAAACGTTCAGAAGAAGAGCAAGATATTATTTTAAACTTGTTGTATGACTTAACTGTCATAACCAGCTTTTTGAAGTAAAACCGTCATTCTCAAACCACTTCATTTTTTCGATGTCCGAACAAGCACCGAAGCCAAACTCAATGGAAGATGTCCTTTCAAGGTTGCCAGACAAGCGCCCAGTTCAATTCAAATATGAATTTGAAAGCTCATCTGACAAACACCATTAAGACTCTCCAAAGTAGTCTTATGACAGAGATGACCAATCTCAAAGCCGATGTCCTCATGAACCAAGCTTCCAATGAGAAATGCCTGAACGATTTCGCGGAAACCTTGCGCAATTACGAGAGAGAGAACCGAGACCTTGCCAGACTCATCTACCGTTTCTTCGAAGAGATAGACGCCATCTGGAAGGTACTCGGAAAGGACAGAACATGCAACACCGTACTTCGTGAGTACCAAATTGAAGAAGGAATTGTCGAGGAAGAAGAGGAAGAAGAGAAACACGAAGAAGAGGAAGTTTGGGCAACCCTTGTTGCCGATGACGCTTACGAAATTTCCCAACCCTACCCATACCAAATCTGCAACAAGGAGACAGGCAAGGTTCTTACCCCAGTCCTCAACAACTTGGGACACTTGAACCTTAACCTTCGGAATCGCGGTTCAATCTCCATGGGCAAGCTTGTCGCAATTCAATGGGTTCCAAATCCAGACAAGAAGACGAAGGTCAGACACATTGACGGTGACAAGCTCAACAACCGTAAGGAGAACCTCGAGTGGTTCTAAGAGTAAAAAATTATTTTAGGGGGAAAACCCAAGTAAATTTAAGTTTTTATTTTTGGTATTCGTACCAATTTTGGAATGTGAAGACCACATCCCAACCTCTGTACGTGAGTCTTGGGTCCACGTCTAAGACCCTTCTGTAGCAATTCCAAGCCCGAGCAAATTCAATTGTCAACCACTCGTCTCCTCTGTAGTCTTCAATCCATTCTTTGAAGAGACGGTCGAGTTCGGGCTTGGAATATCTCTTGCTTGGGTCCGAGACCAACATTTGGTTGAACTGGACGAAGCGCTCAGGGATGTACGCCATTAAAAAAATGTCACTTTTAAAAAAATAAATTTTTTTATTTCATGCAATGTTTAACTATTTCACCATCTTCTTTAACACCCCAGTACTTACGCTTGGAGAGGACATGAACTTCGGTGAAAAATTTGTCCAATTTGAATTGACCCATCTTTTCACCGGCCATTCCCATTTCAATGAGTTTGTTGTATCCTTCTTCGTTCGTCATGAGTGCGTCAATGTTCTCATAGTAAACCTTCACTTTGGATTTGACTTCGGAGAAGAATTTGTTGTAGTTGTCAAGTACTGCCTTTGCGAACTGAGGGTAAGACCAATGTTCGACAATAGGTTTTAATGTGGTTACTAAGCCACTTTGACCTTGAGTGAATTCGTACTTCAAAACAAAAGGAGAAAACCTTTCAACAAAGTTGTCGACCTTCTCAGAATGTTTACTCTTCATCTCTTGAGGTTTCTTAATGGAATATCCCCATGTCGAATTCATAAGCAATTTGAGTGTCATTGCAAGTTTGGGGTTTGAAGCTTTCCTAATATCATACAGTTGTTGTATGACTTTTCCAACTGTATAGTTCCTTCCCGGGAACTCACCATCTTCGTTTGGAATTCCAGTCGGAATATATTGGACAAACCTCATGTATGCAGCGTTAAGGTCGACATAGTATATCTTTTCATCTGAGTCGAACTTGTCGCAACCAATTGGTCCAGTTTGTGGAAATTCAAGTGAGTCTCTTATCTTCTGAGAAACTTCTCCTGTTATCTCATAAACATCGTCGAAGCAACCTGTTTCATATAAAACCTTCTGACCTAACTCAGATGCTCTCCAATACAATTTGACGTCAATTGGATGTCTCAATGGAAGTTTGTTTATAGCATCTTGAAGTTCTTGCAACCTCATTGGAAGTTCTTCTGGTTCAGGTTGGTATCCGAACATACCAACCCCTTGTGGAACTGTGTACTTCTTTTGTACTAGAACTTTGTCTGGAACAACTTTTGGTCTTGCTAACAATGAAAAGTTTGTTTCGTCTTTTGGTACAAAAGTTTCTGTCAGCTTGTCATCTGGAATTGGTTCCAACAAACCTTTCTCGAAAAGAATGTTTACAGCTCTGACAATGTTGCACTTACTTTTACCAAAGAATGGGTTTGTAAGACTTTCGTTCAACATGAAGTGGTTGTGGACAATTACAATCTTCAACCATGGTAAGTCTTTGTCAACAACATAGTCGTCATGTGAAGAACCTTTAGCTGTAGGTATGTTGACTCGGATATTGACATTTGCCAACGGTGCAATTTTTGCCAATTGACCTCTGAGAATGTACCTTGTCTTCACACATGACTCAAGATACTTCATCTTCTCATCTGTAACAAGACCAGAGTTCCTGAGACATGTAAGAATGCAAGGTTCGTTGACAATTGTTTCAATTGAATTGTAAATTCCATACCTTGTCAAGTCAATGTCAGACTTATTTATGAACGGGAAGTATCCAGCATGTTGTCTGACTGCTTGAGGGTTAGGTTGGTACCATTCGAACTTGACACTTGCAATTCCTTCAATTGCATTCAAAATGTCTGAGTCGGAGTCAACCATTTGTTCTCTCTTTGTAGTCTTGAAAGCGTCAAGAAGTTTTGCGGCTGTTTGTTCATTGCCATGTGCATAGTAAATGTGACCATCCAAATCTGTTATGGTCAATCTGAGATTGTGTCCTTTCTTATTTCCGTCTTGAATTGCAGCAAGTACTCCCATGAAGCCTTCTTTGTTCTTTCCTTCGTCAAAGTTTACTGTAAAGGTTCGACCAGATGTAATTTGACTTCTAACTTCACGATACTTTTCATATGCATATCTTGTTCTTTCCATGGGAGCATGTGCGTCTTCACCTTTTCCTTTTTTCCTTCTCAAAGGATGCAATTGTTCGTCATGTTTCCAGTAGAATCTGGCAAAGCCGTCGTGTCCTTCAACTTGAGGTTCACTAACATCGAAAGGCATGTCCATAAGACGTTCTTCTTCTAACCTCTCTAGTCTGTTTGGATAATTGGCACGTGCTGTTTCCAAATCTAATTCGTAGGTCAGACCAGCCAGTTTGTCATAGACTTTTATGGGTTTTCCTTTCTTATATTTAAACTTCTTCGAAACTCTCCAACCATATCTTTGTAACTCTGCTTTTATTCTAGCAGACTTTCTGTCCATTCTATATGGGGGCATTTTTATAAAAATAAAAAAATATTTTTTCTTTACTTTACATAACCGCCTGCTGCCATAAGTCTTTGACGCCAACCCATACCAGCTAATGAAGGTTGACTTGGTTTAGTTTGGAAACTAAACTTTGGTTTTGGTTTATCTTCAGTTTTTGGTTTTTCTTCTTCTATCGGTTTTTCGTCACTTTTCGGTTCCTCTGACTTTACTTCACTTGCAGGAACAGTTGTGTCGTCAACATCTTCATAAATATCATATGCCATTTGTTTTTGTTTTCCTTTCAACTTTTTGTGTTTGTTGTAAAGTTTAGAATATTTCGACTCTAAGTCAATGAGATGTTCTATAATGAACTGTTGGTCAGTGAAGTAAACTTTTCCATCTGTTGTCTCGAAAGCTCCTTCAGACTTCAATATTTTATTTGTGAGAGTCTGTTTCTTTTTTGAGATACTAGCCGTTCCATTTTTATGAAAAGTGACTTTATAGTTAGGGTTTGTATTTCCAGACCTGGCACTTTCTATTATTGAATTTTTCTCTTCATCTGTAAGTTCTTTGACAGGTTTTGACAATGGTTCTGAACTTTTTGTTTGTGGTGTCAAATCTACCGTTTCAACTTCTTCGGTCATTTCATCTCAGTAAAAAATTTTAATTTGGTTTGTTTTCAACTGGTTGTTGTTGTGGAGGTGGGATGGTTCCTTTAATAATATCATTCAGTTTCACATGCTGAGCCTGACTATATGGTATCGGTTTAAATGCTGGAAGCCGACAAATCCATCTTGAACTCATTTGTCTCAATGTTGCATTGTTCATTTCATCTCAATAAAAAACTTTACATTCCCCACGTTTGAGGTGGTTGCGGTTGGTTATTGTTTACCCATTGTTGTGCATGGTTATATCCTCTGTTAAAGAATCTTTCACCTTGGTCCATATAGTGTCCTGCTTGGTTATAGTAGTCATTTGCTTTGTTATAATAGTTTCCTGCTTGTCTTCCTACATTGTCCATCCATCCTTGAACTTTTCCTCTTGTTTCAGGATTTGGAATAAGATTTGTTGCATCTCGTGCTACATCCCAACCTTTCTGTACAGTTTGTATAATAGGTTGTGCTTTCGCTTTCAGTATACCTAATGTACTCAAAATCTTCCTTCCAATTCCAAATGCACCTCTGGCTATTGTTCCCACTGCGGGTAAAAATCTAGATGCGACTCCTGCTAATGCGCCAAATAAACACATTTCTTATAGGGTAAAAAATGACGAATCCGAACAAGGACCCCTATGTTTCTAAAGCGACAAAGAAAGCACTCATGATAAAAATCTTTAGTTCAACACCAAATGCTTGGTTTATGGATATCTTGGAAAACATTTGTGTAAGGATTGTAGTTGGCTTCTCTTGAAAGAACTTGGTCCAGTGGTGGATACTCTAACTTAACATCTGATGTAGCGTTAGCGTTTGAAGCTGAGTTTAAATTCACGGCGCCATGCTCCAAGACCGAAGGTCCCGACTTAAGTTCTGGTTCTTTTTCTTTCAAACACTCTGAACTATAGTTCTTTATGACAATATTGTTTGTCGTTCGTGAGTCAACATTTGATGTTGGTTCAATTGGAACATTAACGGCACCAGCTAAGATGGATTTGCTTCTCATTTCATATAGAATAAAAACCTTTTATATGTATGAAATGAACAATATACTCGACAAGGGTTTGAATGTAAAGCTAACGAATGAAAATAATGTTGAATTCACTGAGACAGGTGCTGTGTATAAAGATGTAGAACTACTGAACAAAAGAGCTAAGGGAAGAAGCAGGAACATGAACAAAGGGTGGAAGCCTATAAAAATTTATGTCAATGATGGCTCAGGAGGTTCAAACATAAAGTATGCAGAAAGTTATAGAGTTTATGCTCTCAAAGGTGAAAAGCCTTCATTTAAGAACAGCTATTCTAACGCATATCCTCAAAAGCTAACGGATGGGGAAGTGGATGATATGAATGACAGCAAAAATATTAACAGAAATGGCGACAGAGATGCATGGAATTTGTTTACCATCAGTCAATTGAAGGTTAAACTTTAAAACAATGTTGGTCGTTCCCATGGAATATTTTTGACTTTAATGGTATTAGTCATGATATGAATCTCAAGGTATGAACGAGGAGAGATGAGAGACTTATATGCTTCCCAAATTTCTTCAAAAGGTAATGTTATACCTGACTGTTTCCAAATGAGTTCAATATCATAGCGTGAGAAACCTTGAAAGATAACGAAGTCAGTTATGAGACGTTTTATGTTTAAAGCAAGGAAACGCCATGTTTGCATAAGTATTGCTACAGTTAAATGGTAATGTCTGACTTTAGTTATGATGTTAGCTAATGGTGAGTCAGGCTTTGACACTAAACTTTTTCCGGCGAAGTCGTCACAAACGAGCAGAGTGTTTGAAGGATACTTTTTGAAGGGGTATTTTGAAAGTTTTGATAGAATGTAGTTTGTCAGTCGTTTCATATCGTAAACTCCTGAGTACTGACGTAAGTGGTGTTTGTCAATAATTCTTTCCATCTCTTCTGAAGTCTTTTGCATTCCTGACTGTATGAACTCTACAATAGCATAATATTTTCTCTTACGTCGAATGTAACGTTGAAGAAATTCAATGAGTTCGCTATCTGGAACTTTAACGACAGATGCTTGAACTTTACTCATGAATGTTTTCGCTGTTGAATCCATAGAGTCTGAAGTTGCTGATATAATGATTTGGTCATAGTAAGAGTCGTTTCCTAAACGCTCTGTTATGAGTATATGACGAATGAGGTTAAATGTCTTACCTGAACCCATCTTTCCACAATAGAAATAAACGCCATTTGAACAGAACTCATAATCTTTGCTGAAAGGAAGAATAAGAGAAGAGTTAAGTTTGTCTGTAGTTTCATTCATGTCTTCATCTACGTCATGTATTAAATGCTTCATTTTATCTCCATTAAAAATGCAAGTCAGAAATATTCAGAACATAGCACCGAGTCTAACTGACAAGAGTATAAAGATATACTATGAACACGTTATGATGAAACCAACCAAAATTCAAGAAAGTCAGTATACTTATGAATATCCAAGACACTGGGTAGAGTATGTAGGAGGTGAGAAAGCTATTGAAATAAGACAAGTTAGAAGTATTCCAGCAGGAAGGACAATATTATTGAAGAACTTTAATGTTTTGAGATATAATGATGAAACAAAGAAGCAAGATAGTTTCCCTGTTGCTGTGTATGTGAACTTAGATACGGGAGATGACATGAAAGTTTTTAACACAAAGCTTCAAATGGTATTGAAAGAACAACTTATAGCAGAAGGACACCCATTACCTTCAGAAGTTACCATAGCATATAATTTTGAAACAAATGCAATAGATTTTAAAATCGCCTCTGCAAAGAAGTCAGGTTTTACATTTAATGAAGCAGATGTATATTCGAATGAAAACTTCAAAGCTATTGCATGGTTAGATAATGACGATTGCTTTAAGAAAATATTTAAATTCAGTGACTCAAAGATGTCAATAGATGACCTTCGTGGAATGTTACCATCGACGTTTACAGTTGAAGGCTCAGCAGGATTGCTTACAAGATTGTCAATTGGTGGTATTTGGTCTCGTGAGAACATTGTTATAAAATCCAGTATAAGTGAATTTGCTGAAGAATCTATATTATGTCTTTCAAACTATATGTATTCGCCACCGAAGCATTATAGTATAACAAACTTTGTCAGTAAGTTTAACATAAGACGTGTCGAACCTTCTTCAATGAAAGATGTTGTGCTACCCAAAGACGGAAAGGATGGACTCATTATTGAGATGATTTTAATAGCATATTAAATGAGCTTGTTCTTGAAGGTCATTCATGATGAAATAACTGTTGTAGAAGATGTTAGCAATTGTTCAGACATTTTGAAGCGTATAGATGATATAAGAAAGAAGTTAGATAGACCGCAAAGCGGTGAGGGCGAAGCCCGTGAGAATGTTTATGTTTCATTGACTTTCTCCAGTAACGAGAACTTTTATGAGATAATATTGAAGAGAGATGATTTTAATATGGTGTAAATGGTAGCTTGGGCAGCTTTAGGCGCAATGGGAACAAAAGCATTAGCATTTGGAGCAAAAGCACTTGGAGCTTATGACGCAGTAAATAAAATGAGTGGAGGAAGGGTTTCGAAGACATTAGATGCAAATAAAGGAAAGATTGGAGGCTGGGTTGCAAAGAAGTTAAGATTAAATAAAATAGGGCTCATAAATAAAGCATCCAATTTGGTTGCGACTGAGTCAGAAAATGCTTTAGGAAAGGACGATGAGTTTGCAAAACACGCAAAAGACTTTAATGACCAGATGAAAGGTGAAACAATGCATTTAAATAGAGTCGATGGAACTAAAGAAAATGTTTCTTCTCCACAACTTCCACCAGCAGTTCTTCCGTATGGTCCCTATGGAATGTATGGAAACCCTTACGAAAGACCATTTGACCCATTGACCTATATGAAGAAGAAAGTGAGTCAGAAGATTATGAGCTGTTATGTGAAGCACAGCAATGGGAGGAGTTGCAATACTTTTGTAAGTGAGAATGTTTATTTTTTACATTAGTGAGGTGAAGTGGTTGGCGGCTTTGTAAATATTTAAGGTTAAGTTAGTGTTGTCGTTTGTGTTGTAAAATATACGTTAACGGTTTTGTAAAGTGTCAAATTCACATATAATGGGTAAGGTGGAACGCAGTGCCTCCGTACCCTTGATATGTATACTAACTTAAGTCACCCCCTTTCAATGACTCAGATATCTTAGAATAGTTTGAAAAGTTTGTTGTGTTCTTATTTAGAGCTTGCATAATGAGTTGTCGGTTGTGTTGTATTTCTCTCATAGACGCTGTTTCATTTGACATTTTTATTATAGATAAAATATGCTTCCAATAGAAAAAGAAAATTCTAGAGTTGCTACAACTAAACCATTAGATGAACTTTTTACTAATGTCGGTCAAAAGTTTGAGACAGATACCGTAAAGCATGATGGCTATCGTTTTGACTACCCATTAAGATGGTTAAGAGACCCATCTGTCACAAAAGCTATTGGCTTTCGAAGAATAAAGTTTGTGTCTGTAGAAGATAAAAGTTTTCCATTTATTGTAAGGTTTCATATAGATTATACATCTGAAGGGCAACGAAAAATGTGGGAAGAAATTGAGCTAATACAAGTTGACCTCTCATCTTCTCTACAGACTGCATTAAAAAATATAGAAGATAAAATAAATTCATGTTATGCAAAATATGCTGATGAATATGCGAATACCGATAGCACACTTTATGTGAGAATTGTATATGACAAACAAAATTCACAAGTGTCATTTCAAATCTACGAAGACAATCCAAAGATAAAGACGAACAAATATATACAGAATTCACTGCAATGTCATGGTATTATTTGCAAAGAATGTTAAATCAGAAAGTTGAACCTCCTTTAGCAAATATCTACAGTCGATATGCAAGAGATGAACCATATTTATTTAAAGATGTTTTCGACCCAGATGCTATTATTGTTCATGCTTCATTTTCTGGCGCCCAAAACTCTTTCTTATGCTTGGCAAATGACTTTTACGAAAAACCTACAAAGTTATACGAACCACCAAGTGGAAGTATTTCAGACTTTCAAGTATGGTTTACTACAGATGGAAGAAAAAGAATAATTCCATTATACCATGCGTTTTACTTAGAACTTAGTTTCATATACAACTACTATCGAACAATAAAAATATAATTTTTTAATATACCGGTTGTGGTTGCCAACTTGACTGTGGTGCAGGTTCAGGCTGTTGTATAACAGGAGCTTGCTCTTCTGGTTCAGGGTCTTTAGGTATAATACCAACGAACTGACCTACTCTTTTACCAATATTTTTGACACCGTTCCATACTCCTCTTCCGACAGATTTTATTCCATTCCATATACCTCTTCCAACATTTCGAAAGAAGTTTCCTATCTTACTGAAGAAACCCATTTTACTATATGTAAAAATCTAATGTCCGCCTAGTCTCTTACGTTTCCTGTTGAGTTCCATAGCATTCTTTAACTGGAGCTCATACATTCTGTTTCTCCTCTGGTAGAAAACATATTCTGGGTCAACTCCTGTGTTCGCGTCATCTGCATAAAGTTGTTTATATCCCACTTCAGGGTTTGTATAAAACTCTTTCCATCTCATATTTGCATACCATGGTGGCAAACCTAACGCAGCGTCATTTGACATGGCAGTTTGCATTTGTACATCTGTTGGCACTTGACCATAGTTTGCCATTGCAGTTTGTATTCTAACTTCATTTGGAATATTCTCTGGGTTTGGTTGTCCAGGTTGCTGTGCATTCGCTAAGTTCTGTGCGTCCATTTAATATTAGATAAAAATATCTCTTACGAGTACATATGCTGAACATTTGCAGGCATTGGTTCATCTTCATATTCTCTGTACTTTTCTGCCACGTCAAATAAATAAATGACACAATGGAAAAAACCTAAAACAAGTAGTCCTATTTCAAACCACATTTACTTACTAATAAAATTTCTTTATTGTGACACTTTCTCCGGTTTATAGGACCTCTCTCATATTCTATCTTGTCATATCTAAACTCATAGTCATGTATGTCCTCTAACCATCTCATAACGGTTTCCAAACCACTTTTATCGGATGTAAAGTAAAAGCATGGATGGTTATGTATAACGTCTAAAGTTTCTAAAGAGTCTCTCAAAGTCCAGTCTACTTGGTATTGAAAATCCCATGTGTTATAGAACGGCGGGTCCACTATAAAGAAAACATTTTCCTTGTCTTTATATTTTTCATACAACTCTGTCCAATGACATCTCACAAACTCTATACCCTCAATACATTTTTCTATGTCCTCTTTGAAAACATTTGTATAGTTAAGATATAAAACTTTTGACATAAGTGTTTCAATGTCATGAACTCTTATAGCACCACTATATAATAGTCTAGCAGATATACTATCCCAGTCTACATATTCTGCTTTTTTCAAAACCTCTCTCACAATATTTTTCTTATCTAATGGTATACGTTCCATCTTACCTATAGGTATCTTTTCTTTTAACTCTTTCAATATATTGTTTGTGTCTGGAATATGTTTGAGACGGTCCATATAGTTGTCGAAGTCATTGCATATAATCTTTGAGTCAGGAAATACGGTATGACATAAATGGGATATATAGAAACTTCCACCGAACAAATCTACAAATGTTAGACCATTCGGTAGTTTCTTAAGTTCTCTCAATATAATATCTTTACATCTACTCTTATTTCCAAAGAACGGTAACGGTGGTTTTGTAAAATTCATTTATATATAATAATAAAAATGTTTTTACCTGAAAAGTGACAGAAAAGTGACAAAACATGAAAACATATATAATTTGTGAAAAGTGACATAAAAGTGACATTTAAAAAGTGACACCATTAATATGATGTAAATAACAACGGTTTTGGTTTTGTCACCGGCTGGTCGGCTGGGGTTCGGTCCTCCTCTTGGGTCTTGGGCAAAATTTCTTATGGGCTAGTGTTGTAAACAGAAATTCATCAAAAGTGACACCTCAGAAAAGCTAAAATATTGAATTTTTGGAACTTTTGATAGAGCACGTTTTTAAATATTAATTAAAGTAAATGTATATTTTGTAAAGATTCTTTTTAATAAAAAAATAAAATTTTGAAGAAGAACACAAAATCTTCTGAAAAATAATATCACATAAACTCATATTATTTTCTAATATATAACTATTTTATATAAAAATCAAATTCAATGATCTTAAAAGCGAAGGATAAACCTCAAAATTTACGAATATAATGAGTGGGAATATAATGCTTATCTATCATAAAACCATATGAAATATCAATTTTTGCTTTACGCCTAATTTTTGACGACAATTAGCAAAAAATGTTAAATGTTAACACTCAGTCCATTTGAATATGAAAAATAAAATTGACTTTGATTAAATGTTTTTATTTATCATGCAATTCTTCTTGCGACCAAAGATTTGAATCAAATTTCAAAAAATAAGATAGCTTAAAAAATAATATACGGTAGTGTTTACTAATAGATGAATAGTATATAAATTCTATTAAAATGGATTTGATCCAAAAAAAATATATAAAATTTGATCATAAATAAAATCGTTTTAAATTACTTCTTCATTTAAATTATAACAATTATTTTTGGTTTTATATTTTTTTGGATCAAATCCATTTTAATAGAATTTATATACTATTAAAAAAAAAAAGGTAGTGGGGCTTCCAGGCACTTCGTGCCCTCTAGCCCCTAAATTTTTTCCAAAGTTTATTGCAACAAAAATTAGAATGTCATTCCGTAATTGGGACGAAGTCATTGCGCACTTTTCTACGCACCAACCAACACCAGAGCAGTTAGAAGTGCTTGAGAAGATGAAGGAGGAGACTCTGGAGTATTTGAGACAACAAATTGCAAATTACAATTCGAAGATTGACGAAACAGTCTATAGAGTCTCATCGGCAGAGTCACATATAGAAGTGGACCAGTTGGTCAGTGACTTATTATATTATACTGCTGAACGAAACAAATTATATAACAAATTGAAAGAATTGGAATAAAAAATTAATATTTTACTTATATTTTTTTTCTTACAAGCTCTGATAGTATGTGGGGGGCTTCCAGGCATTTCGTGCCCTCTAGCCCTGAAGATGTTTAGTATAAATGAAGTTTTTATTCGGAAAATTGTTAGTCTTCTGGTGTGAATTCGGAGGACTCTTCTTCTTCAACATCAAAGTCATCTGGTGTATCGAACTGAATGTATGAAAGCCAAATGTTGTATGTGTTTTCCAATTGGCTTTCAAACTTGAGATACATTCCATGCATGAGTGTTATTTCAGTTTCAACGTAGAGTTGCTGATGTGGCTTGAAGACATGCATGAGAATTGGTCCTCCAAATTCGTCCTTGAAAAACTTGCAGTAGCAAACATAAACTGAGATAGAGTCTCCTTCTTCAATGTCTTCTGCTTGGTTAACGAAATGAATAGCAATTTTGCGTACTTGAATTGTGTTGTTGTCTGAGTAAAATAATGGTTTGAACTTGGGGTTGAGTGAGCTAAGACATTGCCATTTTGCTGTTTCTTGTCCGTACTCACGTTCTTCTTCGTCATCCTGATATCCGTAACTCTTTGATTTGAATTCGACCCAAAGCTGTTCGACTTTTTTTGCAGCTTTGGGTGGAAGACTTTCAATAAGCTGACATATAGTTCTGTCAACCATTATCTTTGTTATTGTTGGAAAATAGTTGACAATTGTGTCACCTAATTCGAATGGGTCAGGTGTTTCTTTTTGTAGTTTGGTAAAGTCTGCAAGAACTTTGTTGAGTTGTTCACAATATTCTTTGTTAAAAGTTGCAGGAACTCTTTCTTCTGGCTTTGAATTGAAGTATTCTTCAGACAATCTGAGTAGTATTTTGCGTAGTTCAGCGTTGCTGTGGTTCTTTGTAATACGGAGCTCGTTTGGTATTGTTTTTGGTAGTGAAAGTGGCTTTGGATTGAGTGAATTGCAGGACAAATTTGAATTTGAATTGTCTGTTCTGCTTGGAGAATGTGTAGATGCTGCAGTTTGATATTGAGGTTCTAAACCTGTGGGTGCTGAAAGTCTGCAAGCAATTTCTTCAGGTGAATTTGGAGCGAACACGCTAGCGAATGCCATTATGAAAAATGAACTGTTTTTTTCAAATAAGAGTTTGAGATGAACCGTTTTCGTCAACGGAGACCCCCTCTATTTTTTTATTTTATTTAATAGTTACCGTTGGAAAAACGGTTTATCTCAAATATTGAATGAACTATAAACGTTTTTTGTTTTCTATATATACTTTTTTGTCCAACGGTAAAACTTTTTACACAACGGTTTTTGAGAGTCGTCGCTGTTGACTTTTTTGTAGAGCACTCAAAATAGTATAACTTTGTCCGGACAAGTAAGGGTCTATCGTCGCTACAGGAAAAGTTACAGGCGTTCCAAGGAAGTATACTTTGAGAAGACTTTCCCCCTTATAGAATGAGATAAGACGGTTATTTTACAAAACTGACAACACTTTGACCGAGTAGTTTTTTGTGCTGAACAAAAAGTGTCATATAAACATCTGTCAAAAACCGCTTTTTAACTTCACTTAAAATGCCACGTAAGCTACGTAAGAATATACGTAAGAGGAAGAGAGCATTGAAACATCCAATAGTAAAACTGACACCACAACAACAGTTGCAACAACAAATGATGAATGACCCCACTATGCTGCAACAAATGTCAAGCAACCCTATGCTTTTAAACTGAGTTATTGGTGCACAGAGTGGAGGTTTAAGAGCGGCACTTTTAGCGAAAATGGCAGGCTATGGTGGAGCTGCAGACGGAACAGCTTATAACCCTCAAAGTCAAATGAATTTGAGTTCACTCAAAAATCAAATAACAGATGTCAAAAAGTCAAACATAGACATACAGAAACAAATAAGTGAAAACGAAAAGAAACTAGAATATGACAGACACACAAAGAAACTCAATGAGTTAAACGTAGAGAAAAAGAAGAAAGAAGAACAACTGAAAGAACTAAGTACAGAGGAATATGCGAAAAAAGTGTCAGAAAAAGCAGCAGAAGTAGCAAAAATGGAACAAGATGTTATAAATTTGAAAAACCATACTACTCAATATAAAGTACTGAAAGATGAAGAGATAAAACAAAAAGCCCTGAAGACATATATGGATAGCGATGAGTATAAAAAAGAAGTTGAAGCAAATGTAAAGGCAGAAAAACTTTTACAGTTGCAAAACCAAACCGTACAGTATGAAAACTTAGCACAAGAAAGTAAAAATAACGACGCAGCCATGCAAAAGGCAATGAAAAGCGCAGAATATATAAAAGCTAATAATGACTGGTTAGATGCCCAAGCCAACGCCAAAGCAGCCCAACTTATAGGGTCAATAAGGACAAAAATACAAGCGGATGAAGACAGTTCAAATGAAGCTTTAATGAATGCTGACTTTAAGAACGCCTTCGAAGCTCTTCATAGTAAGGTGAAACTAGTGAACGACTTCTCATCTGGAAAGAAACTGAAGTCTGAAGGTTTCGACAAAGAGTTAAAAGAAGTAGCACAAAATATGACGAAAATAACAGATGCAGCAACGAGACAGGCAGTTCAAAGTGCCTATGACGCCGTTAGAGCAACTGTTGTGGAAAGTCAAGAAAAAGAGTTACAACAGACCAAAACAGACCTAGTAAATGCTTTCTTAAGAACGAAAAGTCAGGTAGGACATTATGCTGCAGATGGAACATATGTGCCAGCTGGTGGAACTTATATACCACCAAACCCTCCAAGAGAAGCACCTGCACCAGGACTACCTAAAACATTTACATCGTCACATGGACACAGACACAGGCATGCACCAAAACCAACACAACAACCAACAGTTCAAAACACTGCACCACAACCAACAGTTCAAAACACTGCACCACAACCAACAGTTCAAAACACTGCACAGCAACCAACAGTTCAAAACCCTGCACAACAACAACCACAAACAGAGCAAGGACATAAAAGAAGTAGAGAACAAGGAAACCAAGAATTCTTAAAAATGCTTAAGGAAGACTATGGTTACCCAGATACTCTTGACTTTAGTGACAGATATAAAGAAGCTATTAGAAAGTTCAAGGAAGGAAATACTGACCCGAACCTATTTAGCTTTATGGTTCAGCACCAAATGGGATATAATTTCAAACCTGGAAAATACAAGCTCGCTAAGGGATATGATTTAATAGCATATCATCCAAATGACATGACTGAATTTACTCCGAGATATTTGGTGTCAGAGATAAATGATAATTCAACTATCTTCATGAAACGCGTAAAAAATAGAGACGGAACGAAAGAAGAAAGGGTTATGAATGCGGATGACTTAAATAGGGAACTTGTTAAAAACGGTCTCGGAATATATGAAATGCCAGCAGATGAGGTACAAGAAACTCCACAGGAAGAAGTTCAGATACAACCAGACATGGAAGAAATAGTTCAGCAACAACAGCTAGAAGAGCCAGAAGGAAACGAACAAGTCCCTCCTTTGGAAACTAACTTCACAGAACTAGATGAAGATTTGGAACAGCCGAAAAATCTTGACCCTCAACAAGAGTATGCGGAGAATATGGAATCTTTCCAAGAGTCTAAGAAAAATTCGGCTGACATAGTAGAAGAATATCGAAAAATGTTCGCCGACATACAAAAGACTCCAACATCAGATGAAAATATTCAGCATAGAATGGAAGAACTGAAAGAAAATGTACGCAAATACAACAATCCTTTTTACTTACGACCATATAACGTTCAATCTTTGGCTGAACTCGGTGAAAATAAAAGGTTAAATTTCAACAAAACATATAGAAATGAAACATTGTTTAAAGTTCATTCAGAACCTAACCAATATGGAAACAAACCTACTTTTGTTTATGCAGACTATGGAACTACAATGAGATGGGGTCATAAAGCTAATCCGGATAGGTGGTTCATAAACTTACAACCACAATTCCAAGAAGTTGTAGACGCAATGGAAGTGAATGGTGAACCAGATATAGCTGGTATTTTCAGCGCGGCTTTAATGCCATTGAAAGATATGAAAGATGCAGATATTTTGAACCAGTATGAAATGAACATGGCTGATGGAAATATAACACCTGACGTTCTAAAACATTTATCTCAAAGAACTACACAGAACCATAAAGATGGTATATTTGGTGAAGAGTTTAGAAAGAAAGTTAGGGAGAGAGAAGGAAGAGAACCTATTGTACATGACCTTGCAAACGAAAGTTTACAAAATGTCATAAAAACTTACTTTGCAGACAATGAACTGAGAAGGGATGAATATTTAAGAAAACTCAAATGGACAGTACCAAATGAAATGTTAGTATTGAAAAACATGTTCCTTGACAAAATAAAACCAACTACAGAAATAAATGACGCAAGACTGAAACATTGGGTAAAAGCTTTCCCATTCACAAAAGATATTATTGGTAACATGGAAAGAAAACCAGAATGGCTACAAAAACATATATTTGGAAACGAGCTTATTCCATATGGACAAGCTATATTTGAAGAGCTTGAACCGGAAACTCAGGAAAGAGTCATGCAAACAATACGCGAAGACTCAAATACAAACTATGACAAAATCTTTCTAGGATATAGGTTACCTGAGATGGGCGACCAGAGCCCAAAGGCAAAAAGGACATGGGAAATTTACAACATACTAGGTGAACATGAGGCAAAGATGCAACAACTTGAAGCAGAGGGCAAGTTACCAAAAGCGACACCAAAGAAGAAGAGTAGAACAAAGTGAAAGTAGTGAAGAAGTAACTTCATCTAGTGAAAGTAGTGGCAATGAAGGAAAAAGAAGAGTTGAAAACTCAGTCAGGAAGAAAGTAAAGCTTGGTCCGAGTGGGTTCTATTATGATATATAAATCCAACTATTCTATATTTTTACCCATATGAAATGTACGCCGCTCAGAATATAACGCCAACAGTTTTGGATGCCATGAACGGAAATGTTTCCGAATGGTATAACGAATGCGACAATGCCATTAGAAGGTCAGAAATAGTTCCTGGAACTTACGAATATACAACTGCTGTTTCTTATGGAAACGTAGGTGAGTTTGGAGAAGGTTCTTCAACAACAGTAGATATTGCTTGCGACAGGTTTCATATTATTTCTATTGACAACTCATTCTTATACGTGGAACAAGACATTGAAATAAAACCTTCTGCCAAGTTGTCTGACAAGAAAGGTTGCAATGGAATTTTCTATGTCGGATACCAATATGCTCCAGAAGTTTTCATGGGATATAAGATATATTCTAACTCTGACTTAGTTCAAACAGTAACATGGGCAAACTATGAATGGTTCGCTTTGAGAAACTCAGTACAACCACAAGCTAGAGAACAAACAGACCAGTATGCAAATATTGAGAAAATAAGAAGACTTGACCCTAACGTTCCAAATGCTTTAGCTGCCAAATATATTGCAGTTCCACTTATGTTCCCTATACACCAAATATCTGTCAAAGACTTTGCAGGTGAAGTTGGAAACCAAAATCCAGGAGCCGCAGGTGCAAGAACAGATATTGCTTTAACAACTGCAATGAAACATGCAGATACTATGTTTGTACTGTTCAGACGAACTATAAATGACTATTCTTGTTTCTACAACCCTGGTATTAAATATCATATAAACATAGATGGCAAATATTATCCAAGAGAAGAATATTCTACAGGTGAGGATATGAGGTCATACAACTTGACATTAGATGCTATGAACTTTAACAACAACTTCACAACAACCATTAACCCTGAAATGCAAAGTTCTATTATGCCATATGTGAAAGTATGGACTCATACAGGAGGTCAAAAAACTCAATATACAAATGGAGACCGTTCAAACTTTTGGCTTGGCATTCCATTTGCTGACTCAGAAGACTTTATGGGTGGTATTTCAACTGTTGGTACAGTTCAAATACAATATACTGGTGACAGAGACGGTCCAGATGAATTGAGAGCAAAGAAGTTTACAAAACCAATAGCACTTTTCACGGAAGATGCTCTTTTGAAGATTCGTTCGATGAAACCTGCTGGGGCTCCTCAGATTGGCATAACGACAGCTTCCATCGAGCAGATTTTGGCAGCAGGTCAGTAAGTTGTTCTTGAACTGACTTCTCTCCGTCAAATATTGACAGTACGCCAGTTTTGACATAATATTGTATTATAAACTTACCTTTAGAAATATCGGTCAGTTTTGTTGTTATATTTTTGTCTGCTTCAAGAACTTTCACCATTTCAGTTATACCAACTTTCTTTGCTTTATGAAAATATTTTGGTTCAGCAAAGACTGCTATTCTATAACATTTTCCATTGTTTGTGTAAAGAACTATTCTGTCAATGTATTTGTATTGTTTGTGAGTATAAACTTTGTTCTGCTTCAATTCGAAGAGATATCCGAATACGTCCATCTTTTTATTCTAAGTAAAATGTCATTTCCGAAAAATAGAAGCGTAAGTGTTTCAAAAGGTTTAATGGCGGTGGCAGATGTGAAGTTAAATTCACCAACTCAAACAAACAGTCAAAGTGTTGTTGTCAATGTCAAAGACAGAGATGTTGAAGTGGGGAAACCATACGAAGACGAAGATGGTATAACAATTGTTCCTGTAAAAGAACAACCAACATATCCTGAAGTTAGCAGAGACTTAAGTTCTGTTGCAGATATTCGAAACGACTACCAACAACTGAAAGACAAACTTCAAAACTCAGGAGAAGATTTGTCAAGCTTTAAGTATAATGTTAAACTTGGTCGAACACAACCCTGTAAAAGTGAACTCATATGTCATTGCACCTCATGAAGTTTTGAAAGAACTATTGAAACTTTTGACAGAGGCAGACGATATAAACATCAAAGAAATAGAACCCGACATTAGTTGCTGTGGTGTTTCATATAATGTCATTGACAAGATATACGTTATGAAAGGAGGTGAAACGTTGAACTTAAAATATAGTTTCCCAGACGTCATAAAAATATTTGACGACCACAACATTTCATTAAAATTTATTTGCTAAGTAAATGGCAGAAGACATAATGGTTTATACTATTACGACTAAAAACCCTGAGTCATATAATTCTATAACAACAAACTTACAAAGTCCTCAAGGACGATATTGTAAACTAACCTTAAACACAATGACGACTAAAGCCTGTTTTGCTCTTTTGACACCAGAAGACTTTATTGTTGTGAATGGTAAAAAATACTCCTTTGAAGATACTTACTCAGATATACCACCAACAGGTTTTGTTGACTTATTTAATACTTTAAGGACGGTGTAACATGTGCTGCAACTAGAGCAGGTTTCATTATGTTTGGATGTCCGACTGAGTTTACTATAAACGATATGAGCTATAATACAAAACTTATTTGGTTTTTACTACCAACAGTTTCCTATAACAGGAAAAGGTGTCATACAAGGAAGATCTATTCCATTGACATTAAGCACACCAATCTTATATATTGTTTCAAACTTAGGTTCAAAGTGTTATTCGAATGTCGACAGAAACTATTATGACCAAAAGATACTTATGCGTATAAACAATACTTTCTCTGCTGGTTTGCCTATTGTTCATTCGAATGCAGAATTTTCAACCTTAGTGAACTCAAACACTTTGGCAAGTATAACGTTGACATTAGTTGACGCAAACTTTGTTCCTGTAAAACTTTTATGTCCTATGTATTTGTCAATGACGGCAGAAAGTTTCGAATTGGAAGATGCAACTGGTGAAAGTATTGTATTACAAGAACAACTTCAACAACAAATAGCTCAAGAACAACAAATGCAACAAATGGAACAACAAAGTCAAGAATAAAAAAATAATATTTTTTTATTTTTATAAAAATGTACAGAATAGATGTTTCAGATTTTTATGACTTCCAAGCATTCAGAAATATGTGTCCATTTAGAGACTATAACAAAGCAGTCGAGAATTTGAAACGTTTAGTCATTTATGTTGACTCTGCCCCAGAATGTTATGTCATGAAAGAATGGGATGTTGTCTTTAACAAACCAAGAGCAACAATAGTTCTGAACAAGAATGTAGACAGAAACTTAAGAAAATAAAAGTTGTACAAGTTGGAATGAAGATGTTAGATGCTTGGGATATCTTATTGTCAAAGTTAGAAGATTTTTCAGTTCGAGGTATAAAGTTCTATACACCTTCTCCAAACTTCTATTCTATCTTCACTGGATATAAATACGAACAAGTAGAATGGAAAGAAAATATTATAGAAGCTTGGTTAGACCATGTCAAAGAAATTATATGCAATGGAAACGAAAAGTTATGAGTATATCTTATGTTGGTTTGCAAACATCTTACAACATCCAAGTGCTAAAAATGAAACTGCTCTCATTATAATTGGAAAACAAGGAACTGGTAAGAACACTTCTTTACAGATATTTTGCAAACTGTTAGAAGGTTATTCGAATCCGAATATGACAAACTTAGAAAACATCTGTGGCAAATTTAACTCTCAATAGAGAATATGAAACTTATAGTTTGCAATGAACTTCAAAGTATAGATACAACAAAAGTTTTGAACTCAGATGCTTTGAAGAGTCTTATAACAGACAAAGTTGGAGTTGTTGAAAGAAAGTATAAAGACCAAAGAGTTTGTGAAAATGTTGCAAACTTCATTATGGTTTCAAACAATGCTGTTCCGATGAAGTTAGAAAGTTCTGACAGAAGATATGTAGTTGTCAGAACGTCAGATTCTCATATGCAAGATACAGAATATTTTGACGACTTAGCAGAAACTTTGACATCTGACTTTTACAACCACTTGTTCTCATATTTATGACATTAGATATTTCTAAGTTCAATCCAAGACAAATTCCACATACCGAAGAGAGACAAACATTGTTAGAAGCAAACAAGAGTGTATATGAACTGTTCATAGATGAAACTGACTTTGTGTGTCATTAGATGAAAGGTCATTGTACGATTCGTATAAACATATTGTCAAGAATATGGTTATATGCAGCTTCTAAACGAACATTCTTGGCAAATGTCAAAAGTCTTTTAGATGTTCAGAATGGTGTATATACAAAGAAAAATTTTTCTGAGTAAATTTTAAAAAAATATTTTTTTATCCGATAGAAAAGATGACGAAATTCATCTCAGTAAACAAGTACATGTCAGGACTTAAAGAAGAACTAGACCCATTCGCATATTTGAATGTTTACTTCTACCATTTTGAAAAGTCTTCATTCAGCAAATTTGGAACATCGAACCAGTTAAGTTTGCTATTGTGACTAAAAATGGTGCGAAATTTGAAGACTTAGACATAGAAGGTTTGTTAGCAGTCAAAGAAAATTTTGACAGAAGGTTCTCAAACCTTAAAGAAGGCAAAGCATACAAACTTGTTATACCTTATGAACCAAAGAAGCAGACGACTATGAATATTATGAGTCTAAGAGTTGAAGTTCAAGGTAAATTGGGTAAAAAGATTTTAGAGTCTAAGCCAGTGTTTCTCCTAAAGAGGAAGAGAACATTGACATTGACCCAGAAATGTTCTAAAAATAAAATTTTATTTTTACATGTCAAATTTCTTTTTCTCTGGAACTGGTTCAGGTTCTTTCTTCTCTTCTTCTCTTTCTTTTCTTTCTTCTTCTTTTCTTGGTGGAGTTATGTCAAATTTGGCGCAACTATTTATGTAAAAGTTCTTTGTCCTTTAATAGCTCATCTATTCTGTTTTCTATTTCATCTTCAAGAACACGCATGTGTCTTCTTTGCATTCTAAGAACTTTTGTTGGACTTCATCTTTCCAATCGGCGTCATCTCTGTCAACAAGTCTGTCATTGACAAATTTTAAGACTGCTCTTTGTAATGTTTTATGGTTCTTGTCATATTCCCAGAAACAGAACTTTAGAACAAATTCACCTTTCTTGTTTACACTATGTAAGATTTTATGGTCGACAGATGTTTTGCTGTCAAAAAGCTTGTCTCGAATATAGATAGCGAAATCGCTAGACATTTTCTAAAAGATAAAAATTTTAATTTTTCTAAAAATATGTTAGAAAAAAAGTTTGCTGACATTGACAAAAAATTTGAGAATGTTTTAAACAAGAACAAGAGGAAGTTAGAAAATGCTCAGATAAAGCCTATACATGACAAGTTCTTATTTGCTCAGAATGGTATAACAGGTCTAATTGCACCACCTGGGTCGGGTAAGACTTTCACTTATCTTAAAATGGCTGCACAACAACAAGAACTAGATGAGAAGAACCCATTCTATGAGTTAGTTGTTATTTGTTACTTCTGGTCAATTTGACCAAACCGTCAATTCGTTCAAAGATATTATAAAGAAGTCTAAGTTAGTATGTATAAAGGATACTGAGTTGTTAGATTGGATAAAGAAGTACCAAAGAAGAGTTTTGAAGTACAAATGCTATAAATGAGTATATAAATTCTAAGTTTAAAGACCCAATGAGGAAATGCAGAGAATATTAGAGAAGAAACACTTCAGAAACAAACAGAAAGAGATAGAATACATTTCGAAGAAATTGCAATCTACGATTGGAAGACTTACCCTCATAGATGTCTTCTTATCTTAGATGACTTTGCTTCTCATCCTTTGTTAAAGAACAGAGAACAAGATATGTGTCGAATTCTTAAGAAGCTCAGACACTTTAACATCTCAGTTGTCATTTGTGTACAGACAGCAAAGAGTTTAAGTAAGGATGTTAAAAGAATACTTACTGACATATACTTTTCCCTGGATTGTCCGAAGACGATTTCATGGAACTTATGAAAGAGTCCATGGCAGGTAAGTTTGACAGACATGAACTATGGGAGAAGTACAAAGTCATACAAGACCCTCATACTTCTTTCAGAATTCATATCTACGCAAACAAAGTTCAAATTGTAAAAAGTCAAGCTTGAAAAATGTAAGTGTTTAGTCTTAGTAAGATGGTAGCTTCTTAAAGCAAATACCATTGCTGAGTTTTATGTACGTGAAGAGAAGTACAATGAATTCAATTACGCGTACAATTGCAATGACAACTAAGGCAACTATTTTTGTCTTTTGCCAGCAAGGGTACTTCTTCTCTTCCAATGGTTCGGTAGAACTATACTCACTCATGAGAAATGCCAAAACG